ATAATATAATATAGTTATAAATTAAAAAGAAAAAACAAAGACCTGTGGATCTATAGCACAGTGATTAGTGTTCTACAGGTCAGATTACAAGATACCAGTTCAACTTCCGGTGAAGGCAGCTGAATAGAATTAATATAGTATCTGTCACCATAACTTGTAATATGCTGTTTTCTATAAAAAGCCATTTCACATGCTGATTTAGTGGGCATTGGGATTGTGATCTCTGAAAAGGTGTAGTAGCATGACAGTCATCCAATGGATGCATAATAATCGTCAAGATCATTAATATAAAGTATTAAGCCTTTCAGGAATCATTGATAGACATTAACGTATGATATCAGAGAATCACCAGTGCTATCCCTGTGTAGGAGTTGCACCCTGCTTAGTGAATAACCCTTAGATTTGGCAGCTAATGCTAATTGAGAACCCAATGGATAAGTCTACTAAGAGATTCAGAAGTCATGTCCCTATTGGTGAATAACCCCTAGGTTTGGTGGTGTGTGCCAACCATTGGATAAAAATTCTCAAAGCATTGATTAGACAGTGTATAGATGCACTAAGATCCATTCACAGCTGCATGAGCCAAAGATGTGATTAAGAGGTGATAAGATATAGAAGGTTAGTGTGGGTCCTAGATAAGGGGTAAATGCCAGGGTCTAGATTAAGTTAGGTGGTTTAAAACTAGTGGTAAGATTTCCACCTTCTAAAGATTCAACTTAAAATGTGGACCCACTTTCTAGGTGTAAGTTGGTATATCCGAGTAAGGCTAAGGTGAAGGGGGCAGGTTAACTTGAATGGACTATTATAATCATGTAATTGATATAAAATACTCAATAAAACATATGCTATTAGTACCTTTCACTCCTCCCCCAAAAAACAAAATAAATAAATATTATATTATTTAAAAAATTAAAATTAAATTGAAATAAGTAAAATTTATTAAAAAATTATAAACGATTAATAAAAAAAAATAAATCTTTTTACTATAAAAATTTCAAATATAAAATTTTTTTAGATATATCATATTTATTTTTTTTTAAAAAAAAAAAAACTTTTTTATTATTAAATTATTTGTTATTTAAAATCAAATTTTAGAAAAATTTGAGAATAAAAAAAAAATAATTATTATTTTTAAAAATTACTCTTTAAATTATATTAAGAAGAACAATAAAACTTTATTAATAAAAAAATTAATAAATTTTTATATAAGTATCTTTTTTTATATATTATAGTTTCAAAAATTAATAAAAAAGTTATTCAAATAATAAAATTTACAAAATTATATCTATAAAAAAATTCAATAGAAATTATATTTTATAATAATAATATGGATAAAAAATATATAAGATTAAATTAAAACAATTTTAATAAAATTTTTTTAAATAGTATAGATTTTTTTAAAAATAAAAAAAAAAAAAAAGATCTTTAATTATTAATTAATTGTATAAAAGTATATTTAATTCAAAATTAATAAATTTTTAATAAATATAATTTTAAATCAATATAAATTAGTTAGAGATATAGCTTTAGCAATATATTTAATATATATATAGTATATAAGATTTAATAAAACATATATAACTAATCTAATAGAGAGTAAAAAAAAAAAAATAAAAAATAATCTATATAAAAAACTTCATTTTATAAAAACAATTGAAAAATAAATAATTTTATATAGATAAATATATAAATTATTCAAAGTTACTTTCTAAATATAAAAAAGAATATTATACATGAAAATATTTTAATCAATATTATATTTAGACTTGTACAAATATTTAATTTTTAAAATTTGTCAAATTTCAATATTGTTTGATATAATAATTTAACAAGTTATAATCTTAAATAAAATTTTATGACAACAAAAATATCCTAATGATCAAAGAAGTTAATTAATAACTGATATACCCGGATTGAGAGATAAACAATTGGTTTGTTAGTTTCAATTGTTAAAAGAATTTATATTTAATTTCAAGAATAGGATTTATCCTTAGAAAATGTGCATTAGAGGAGTCTGGTAAGAGGTCAATTGAAATGTGGGTTGAATCATATATAGTAAGTAGTCAAATAGAAGTTGCTAATAAAGCAGAAATAGCAAAAAAAATTTTATTTTGTTTTTTATATTTTTCTGAAATTTAACCATCTAACAACTATCGTTCATTTTTGCTTGCAAGACTCAATCCCATTAAATGTACTATACATAATTGGCATTTTCTAAAGTTCAACTTTCACCAACGAGAACGGCTATTTAAACCAGAACTATAACCTCGGCCACTACTACTACCATATCTCGAACGTCCTAAAAAAAAAACATAAGTTATTTTTTAAGATCTCAGTGGATAACCAATTAAAATACAATTCATAATTACCATTACTGGTGCTAGCGACTGCGAGCTTCACAAGATCGAGAAGCTTAGGATCAACTTCCTGATTAGCTTCTCTTAATATATTTACCAAATCTTTAGCTTGTTTAGCATTTTCCATTGTAAAAAACGTTATTGCAGCACCCTTTGCACCACCACGTCCTGTTCGCCCAATGCGATGCACATAATCCTAAAATATATTCACAGTAAATATAAATAAGCAACATAAATCTAAATGTTAATTGCAAACCGTATTAGCAATTATTTACCTCAACATTGGTAGGAAAGTCGTAGTTAATAACGAGTTTAACATCCTTAACATCTGGAGTCCAATAAATGTTTGTAAGCAATTAAATTAAAATAAATTTCGGCTATCCAGCCGCTTAAACTTTGAAGTTGAGAGATAAGGATGCACAAATTGGACAACAATATTCATCATGACAAACGTGCATCAAATAAAAATCAGACAAAACAGATAATTATATAGCGTAAAAGGATATGTAAGTCCCAATGCCAAATTAGTCGAGCAGCAGCAAGCAAACCAAGTATCAGATAATAGGACAGCACGAAGGAGGTCAGTACGAGATGACACTTCCTTTTGAAATAAAAAGACGGCATCCAATGATAATCCTCCAATGTGACTCACTTCATTAACATGATCATTTCCTCTAATCAACAAGTCAAATGTAGTCGCGGAAATTACGTAAAAAGAATATTGAATTAGTCGAGGCCTAATCCAAATATCAGAGCTCTCCTGTATCAAACATAAAACAGGACCTGATGACAACCTGCCAAGAATTGCATACCCTGCGTCGTTTGCCTTGTTTTCAACCAGTGACTTTTTTCATTACTAATGTTACATCATAATTTTTTTTTTTTGAGGGTGGTGCACAATGTCTTTTTCGAGCTGTTAATACTTGTTGCCCGCGGCTACACCTGGCATTTCTAGGGGACCCACACACTTGCAATACAGGAAGCAAGAACATGTTATATGAACAAAAACATCAAATTAATTTAGGATAACTTTACCGATTCCTCTTGATGCGACATCAGTTGCCACCATTATAGGTGATTTTCCGCTTCGAAATTCGCTTAATACCCAATCACGTTCGGTTTGAGCCTTGTCACCGTGAATTGCAAGTGCTGGCCAGCCATCTTGACGTAAATACTTAGTGATCTCGTCTGCTGTGCGCTTTGTACCAGTAAAAATCAAGGTTTTATTATCTTTTTGATCCATGATGCGTTCAAGATGTTTAACTAATCTATATTTCAGATAAGCAAATAAAAAAAGGAATAAGAGGAAGCTCATTAAACCAAAGTTTAATAATAAATTTCGACTTACTTGGTTCTCTTCTCATATTCGGAACAAACTTCAACTGTCTGATTTATGTTGTGACTTGCCGACAAATCAAGTGAACCGATATTAACTTGAATAAAATCTGTCAGATAATCTTCAGCTAACCGCTTGACTTCCTTAGGCCAAGTTGCGCTCCACATGAGAGTTTGTCTATCCGGTCTAATTTGTTCGACAATTTTTCGAATTTGAGGCTCGAAACCCATATCTAACATGCGGTCTGCTTCATCAAGAACGAGATATGTAACTCGACGAAGATTAGTTTTTCGAGATTCCAACATGTCTATTAGCCGACCCGGGGTAGCAATGCAAATTTCAACCCCGAGGGCTAACTCACGAGCCTGGGGGCCTTTAGGAACTCCTCCATAAACGCAAGTATTCTTGATTTTCGACGACTTTCCAAACTTGGTGCATTCTTGCTGAATTTGTACGGCTAGTTCGCGAGTTGGCGCAAGGATAAGCACAATCGGACCGTCACCGGGTTTGAGATATGGTTGTGCGTTGATGTGAACGATTGATGGTAAGCAGTAGGCAAGAGTTTTACCGGATCCGGTTTCGGCAATACCAACAACATCCCGACCTGAAAGTGCCATTGGCCATCCTTGAGATTGGATCGGTGTGGGAGCAGTGAAGCCCAAATCAAGAATTTCCTTCAATACGTAGGCTATGTTATAAAGCATGTTAAATACGTAGTGGTGGCAATGTGTTAAAACTATACGATAAATAAGATGCCAATCATAGTTACCTGGGAAATTGGCTTCTTCAAAAGTCTCGACTGGCTTGGGGATGTCACGACCAAAGACTTTCATGTCATGTCTTCTCCGGTACTCCTCGACTTGCGCTTGTGATCGAGAGATAACGTTTGGGTGCTCTGTGTAAAAATTCTTTTCAAACTTTGGAAGCTTAGCGAGATCCCACTCTTGTCTTGTTAAGCCAGAGCCTAGAGCTGACATGCGATCACTAGAATATGAACTGTTTCCACCAGGACGATAACTGGAACTGCCGTAGCGATCGCTACTATTATATCTATCATATCCAGGGCTACGTTCCCGATAACTGGTGCTGTTACGAGATTCATACCTTGAAGTTAATTAAATCAACCGTTAATTAAAATAAACCACTTACAACTAAGCACCCCGTGCAAGCAAGTGGTTGCATTCAATAATTTGCCCGAGTCATGTGTAAAGAAAAAAAGTGACTTACTCTTTACGATCTCTTCGACTACGGTCATCATAGGAACGATCCACTCCACGATCACTACCATAACGCGAAGAGGATGAAGAACCATCATAACCCGAAGTTTTGTACGACGAGCCAGCATATGAAGATCCGCCGTTATTATAAGAGGATGACGGTTGAGGTGCGCTACTACCACCATAGGTAGATGAAGTTGAACTATATAGAGTGCCTGGCGGGGGAACTCCAGGAGGACCAAAGCTAGCGTAAGACATGTTATTCTTGAGTCGTAAAAACACAGGTAAGTGATGGATGGAAAAGAGAAATTAGTGAACCAATCACCACTACCCTGAAAGTAAAAAAAATAAATGTCAGGTGATCAAGATATTATAATCGTAACTTTCTTTACATACCATTTTGTAATACTGTATTAAGAGATCAACTTATTACGTAATGATCCAAAAATTATCTGTTAACTATATTAGTGAATGAATAACACTATTATTTAGGATCATTTACATTAAAGAAAACAAAAATAGTAAATACAATATATTGTAAAGCTACTTTTTATTTATTTATTTGTTTGTTTTAATAATTTTTCTTTTCACTATTTTCTGACAATATACTAAAAAGATATTTACAAAAAGTTTTATGCTTTTATATTAATATAGTTTTTAAAACAATTTAAAAATAATATTTCTTTTTTATATAAACTTGACTTTTGATTATCAAGAAAAATCAAGAAATATTTTTTTATCTATAATAAGAAGTATTAAAAATTTTTTTCCTAAAACAAGAATACATATAAAGGTTTTATATAATAAAAGAATAGATTAATAAAAGTTTAAGTCTTGAAAAATTTTCTATTTATTATTTTTATTTTATATTTTTAACTTTTTAAATAATTAATTTAATTTTAAATTTTAAAATAATATAAATTAATATAACTTTTACTAAAGATAATTATTTAATATAAAATATATTTATAATAGAATATAAACAAATTAAATTACTCTTTCTGCTAATTTTTTAACTATATACAAAAAAGATATTCACAAGAAGTTTTTTTACTTCTTTGCTAATAAAGTTTTAATACTTTCATTAAAACAACTTAAAGTATGATTTCAAGAGTTGCTTTTATATTGTAATAAAAATAGTTCCTAATACATTGAATAGTTATTTTTAGTTATGATCTTATTCTTTTTTTTTTTTTTTTTTTTTAAGTTCAACATGACTGGAATGAATTTTATTAAGTATTTTGTGATAATACAGTATTGATTACATGAGTGATTCATCTAATCTATTTTTCTATACTACTTATCCAATTGAATACATAATTTTGTCACAATGTAATACCATTTTGTCAATTGCCCTGCTATGCCTAGGTCACATAGCATCTGAAGTCAGCTAGGGAACTTATATTTTTATATTTTTCAAGGGGCTTGAGATGTGTGTTCCTTAATTCTTGATACTTTATTTTGCATTTTTGTTTGTAAGTATCATGATAGATTCTTACCATATTTAGTCCTCAGAAGATTGGTTGTACTCTGATATGTGCAGGCCCTATGATCTTATATTAATATTCTGATAATTCAATGTTATTACTTCATTGATCAATCAATGGTCTTCCATTGCTTCATTCTTAACCACTTTTTAAATATGACCTACAGGAGTTTTCCTTGGTTATTACTTTTTGAATTATTTCTCTCAAATTTCTAATCTGCCCTTGCAATTTCCATCATAATGCTAATGCTAATCATCAGCCTCGCAAATAGTTGTCCTCTCTGGTAGCTATTGATTTCACGATTGCGATAAGATCTCTCATTAATTTTAGTTACAGCCCATATGTTTTTTTATTGATGCAAATGACCAAAGTTTCTCAGATCTCTCATAAAGGTGTTTTTTGAGAAGAGGTAAGTGTTTTTATATTTTTATTAAAGGCTTGAGTCCATCGAGATCTTTCTTGGCTTGTTTTGATGTCTTCACATATTCTGAATAGTAGGATCTTTATGATTTCCTTAGCACTAAAACTAGCCAAGGCTGTATGACCTAATTTATTATACTGTGGTCAGATGATAAAATTTTATAGGTTGTATTTTGTATACAAAGATACATATGGTAATAAACATACATCTTGTACAATATAACCTATATTGCGAATAATATTTTCAAGTGGAATTGAACCAGTAACTCACAAATGATAACCTGGGAGTGTACCTACTGTACTATTGATCCACAGGTTTATTATGATCTTCATTCTATTTCTATTTTTATCTATTTATTTATAATTATTTTTTTGATATTCTTTAATATTCTTATTAATACTTAATTAGTATAGATCACTTCATTAAATATAGTACGTAATATAATTTACTATAGATCAGGTAGTCCAGAAGATCTAAAAAATCCAAGTGGTCCATTTTTACAAGTATATAAACAACCATAATTTACTCAAAAGTAGAATAAGTTGAATAATAACTTCACTTGATTTTGAAAGTTGATAATAACTTTATTTGACTTTGAAATTTAGAAATAATTTCACTTTTCTTTTGAAAGATTGGATATTTTCTTTTTATTTTAGAACTAAAGAAATTGTTTTAGTTTTCTTGATTTATTAATAAACTGGATTCTGAATAAACCATATTTCTTATGAAATACTATATGACACTATTTAAAGGATTTTTGATGGATCTATTTTTGAATATTTCTTTAATTATCATAAATCACTTCTTTAATTCTTTCTTTAAGAATTGTCCTTTTAAAAACAATTCCACTTAAATACACTGATCAAATATAAATTTAATTACAACACTTTCTCTCTTATTTATAAATTTTTTTATTTAAAAACTTGACTTCTAATGGTCAAAAAAAATCAAGTAATATCTTTAATATCAATAACAAGAAAGTTTTTAAAGAAAAAAAAACTAATTGTAAAATATTTAAAAGTCTTTTCAACCTTTGAAGTAAAATATTATAGAGATTTTATTGTAGTAAAAAAGATTATTTCCTTATTTTCTGACTGTCTAGTTCCTTTTAGAGCTTCTATTTTCATAGTTTTCTAAGAAATTTTGCTTATCTCAGTTTGATCCTGAATTTTAGGTAGTAAAAATCCTTACCAAAAGTAATTGACTAATATAAAATATGTTAATTTTTGAAATATAAATAAGCTTCTATTGATTACACTAATATGTCTCAATAATATTATTGGTAATTGGAAAGAATGTTCTGGAAATATTTACTTTTCAAAAACTCAAGTCCTTTAAAAAAAACATCCATAATACAAAAAGATTAAGAGATAGATAATATGGATTACAAGTTCTTATCTCTTCCCTAAGCTCTTTAGGTAATAACAAAGTTTTAATAAACAAAAGCTGAGATCTAAATACTTTTCTTAAGATATTCCAATCTGGTATTCATTTAAATAAAAGATCAATTGGATCAATTCATCTAATGTCACAAGTGATAACAAAGAAGATTTCTTCTGAGGCTTAAGAAAAGTAAGAAAATTATCCCAATTAAGCAGATTTCTTTTGAGAAGATAATTATTTTCTTTTTAGACTTTTTTAATGGAACCTTGAATTGTTCTTCTTTCTCAATTTCTTTTTTTATTTTTTCCTTAATTTAGCAATTTATGGTTTATGAACAATTTATAGTGACAAACTGTTGGCAATAAACTTAATAGATAGAGATTATTTATTAATTCTTTAGAAAAGTAAAATATTGTTTCCTAGATTTGACTTAGAGTATTTTGATATAATAATGAGTTAGTTATTATAAGAAAAATTTATAATATTATAGATAGTTATATAACTTCTTAATAAAAATCAAGCCATGTAACATGGTTACAAGTTAAAAAAATATATATATATATATTATAAGTTTCTATTAATTATAACATATATTTTAATATGCAGTAGTGACCTGCGGGCAATGATGTTAGAAGTTGGAAGGGTTTTCACCTGAACTACTAGCGGAGCAATAAATCACTCCCGAAGTTGTACTTAGAGTCTTAGATAAATATAAGACTTTAATGAGTGAGTTAGTTAGAGAATTAGCTTTAGCGTCACATGTATAATGTACAGCTTACAATTGTTTAATAAAGCCCACATAACTAGCCTAACAGAGGATTATAATAAAAAAAAAAAAAATAAGTTAAAGTTTTTTTAAGAATTGAAAGCTATTAATAAGTAAGTTGATATGAAATTTAGTTTAGCTATGATACAATTATTATAAATATTTTTATTAATTTTCTTAATAATTAATAAATATATAGTCTAACAACCATTGATATTTTTTTTTTTTAAAAAAAAAAAAGGTATACAATTATTACTACTTTTCTTTATTTAGCATAATAAAGTTAATATTTTAATGTATAAATTGAACAATCTGATTTTCTATAAGTTTTATCAATATTTAAATTGTAATAATAACCTTCATTATCATTATCAGAAAAATCACAAAATGCTTTACTTGACTTGAGTAATGTAAAATTGAAATAATATATATTAATCATACTTATTTTTTGTCCATTACTACTCATCCATCCCTTCACGAAATTATATACTGTATGATATTCATCTGTAAATAATAAATAAATCAATGATAAAAATTTAAATATACCCCGTAAAACTATCTACACGCTATGTGAAAAAAATTTATCCACGAAACTATCTACATGCCATGCGCAATAATCTGACCTCCTGCGAAACTATCTACATGTTATGCGCAAAAATCTAACCTTCCGCAAAGCTATTTATATGCTATGCGCAATAAAATCTACCCCATAAAACTATCTACATGATACGTGCAATAAAATTTACCCCACAAAACTATCCAGATAAAAAAATCTAACTTTCCGCGAAACTATCTACATGCTATGTAAGAGTTTGGAACGGTTAGAGGCCCGTAATTCTCGCTTATCATACATTTTTCCAAATCGCCAACTCTAGGCGTCCACACAAGTTCTTATCTGTTTTTTTGCAAAATTTCAATCAACGTGATAATCTTTTTTCGTCACACTAATAAAAATCCCCAATGCACGAGTTTTGGTAAATCCAGAGAACGTGTGCCACAAGAAGGCCCGTGACTGACAAGAATTTTTTTTTTTTTTTTTTTTTTTTCGGTGCTGACTTCCATTATAATTTACTTTGATAACACAAATATTACTAATGATAAATTTCAATAATTTAAAAAGATAAAAAATTTTTTATTATTTTCATATTCGTTTGTTGATTATACATTTTAATACATTTAATAATTTACGATATATACGATA